AGTGTGTGCACTTACCATCCAGGTTGTGTCCACTGTGTCCGAGCAATTCATGCCAGGTAGGCGTGGCATAATCAAGAAAAAATCAAGTTTTTAAAAATGTAAAATTGAAATATGCTTTTTTCCTTTTTATTGTGATTTTTGTTTTATTATTTATAGTCCTATCCATGGATCAGGGCAGCAGTGCTGCTATGACAGCACAGGTGCTCTGGTGCTGACTGGAGACTCAGTTGGTGGAAGCACCCCAGACAGGGCTCACGACTGGGGCTCGCCACCCTACATTAAACCCCCACGGGTGCCAGGGTATTCCCACTGGCTTTATGATGTCATGAGCTTCTATTATTGCTGCCTGTGGTCGGACCACTGCCATATATACTTAAAACGTCGACCTTCAAGTGGGTGTCAAAACTACCGACCACCAAGAGCAGGTGACGACTCATCAGTCAAGTCATATGTCTTTATTTAATTCATAGATGGGAATGAAAAGCGGGTATCAAGTCCTGATAAAACCTTTTTTTATTTGAGTCTTATATCAGAATTATTGACTAGTTAATTTTGTTGTTTAACTTTAGTAAGTAAGTCAGCTATATAAAAATGTGTCTTATACTGCATACTGTAGTAGTAAGTATCTTTTTTTAAAAGTCAAACATCCTCATTTATTGCTAAAATAAATAGGCCCACACTGAGTGTTTGTTAATCTTTATCCAAATACTTCTGTCTTCCTTGAACCTTATAATATATTCTGCAAACGGTCATTAGAGCAGCAGGTTACATAAGATTGGTTTACAGGTAAAGTAAATGAATGACAGAATATTGCTGAGAGTTAAAATGTGAAAAACAAAAAACTGACTCCATCTCATGAGTTTAAAAACAACATCGCAACCTCTATGTTGATATTAGAAAAGCTCTGCGAGAGATGAGAAATAATTATGTTTGTGGGCATCGCTGCTTTTTTCTCAATGCCTCGCAGGTGTCGTCCTCGGGGATCCACATTTCATAACGTTCGACGGCCTCAGGTACACTTTCAATGGCAAAGGAGAATATTACCTTGTGTCTTCACCAGCAAAAGGCCTGAGTGTTCAGGCCAGAACAGAACAGGTGAAACTTAAGAACGGTGAGTCCACGTTTGAGGTGAATGGCCTGTCTGAATCCACTCTTTGATCCCCATGGTGTGCCTCTGGAATTTGCCCACGCATGCTGACCTTAACATCGCGTGACGCATTCTGTCTTGTTTTGCTTGCACTGTTCCTCTTAATTTTTTACACACTGAGAGGAAGCAAACTAAGCCCCTAGTTTAAGAGAATGCACTACTGCTACAAAATGACAGCCTTGTTTTTGTACTCAGTGCTTCTTAGAGTCAGATGTGTTGAAGAAGAACAGATGTTAGCTTCGCTCGTTAGAATTTTTTCCAAGTCATTATATAAGAGCCATGGGCCAAGTGACTTGGAAAGCCAGATGCCATTAATAGTCCCCTCATTAGATCAATGAAGACAAACATCTGGATTATTTGAAA